AAGCTTTTGAAATTTTGGATACGCAGGGTTTTGTTTCGGATATTCGAGCAAATTTGCACAATAGATGCTTACTCTAGCCATCCCCACTTTTGAACTGATAGAATAGAGAGAAGAAAGCTAGTCAGTCGTACCCTCCGCCAACTCTTGGGCTACTTTAATATAATAGTGGGATTTGATCGTCAGTCTTATAACGCAACCACAGCTCCAAAGTGCGAAGCACGGTTTCGCGGGAACAGAACACGGCATATTAACTTTCGGTGCAGTTTGTTTGTTTGTGTTTTAGCACAAAGCCACACAGGGTTACCTGCGCTTTGTCCACCTTGGTATATCAACTGTTGTTTTACCTTTTAATTACAATAAATGTATAGTTTCTTTTGATGATAAAGTTTAAAGGTTAAATTTTTATTAGCTCACAAAACTAAAATTCCAGCCCTTTAAATTGTTAATTAAAGTGATTGAAACTACTAATTATATCTGTCATATTATCATCCCACGTATATATTATATATATATTACTATTATTCACATATACATTATATGTGACTGATTATCGATTATAGAATATTAACTATCGTTTTTGATAATAATGATTTCATTGTGTCGATAATGTTATTGTAGTATACTAAAAACAAAACCAAAACTTTTTTTTGCAGCTGAACAACCCACGGGCTATTCAACGGACTCAAAACATAGCACCGTTATCTTGAGCAGTTTTGAGAGCAGCTCTACCTATCGAGAACTTCCTGTTATAGACTTTGGTTCCAGTTCTGGAAAGAAAATGAAGTCACTTTCTTCCTTCTTATCATCATCTGGTAAATACTCATTTGATGAATTAAAGAGAACGAATTATAGTTTAGTTGTCCTGAGGGTTCATGGTTCATATCCCGTTAAAACAATACCGTGCTCTGCACTTTGGGGTCGTGGGTGCGTTATGAGTTACGGTCAAAATCACACTATTCGATTAGAATTGACGAAGTACATGCTTTTGACTAGTTTGTCACTTCAAAATTAGTAATGGCTTTGTGTGAGTTTTTGAAATAAACAAATAACCACCAGAATATCATTTAATATACTGTATCTGTTTTTTTTTTCCTGTATTTTTTCAGACGTTTTAGCTAGATAAATGTGCCCGGCATGGCCAGG